TTGATGCAGCAGCCAGCAGCAGCAGCACCAGCAGTAGCAGGTAGCAGAGCAGCAGCAGGACAGCAGTCAGCAGCAGCAGCCAGTTAGCAGCATTGAAAACAGCAGCAGCCAGCAGCCAGCAACAGCAACAGCAGCAGCAGACAGCCAGCAAAACAGCGAAGCCAGCAGCAGCAGCAGCAGCCAGCAACAGTCAGCAGAGGCCAGCAACAGCAACACTTAGCAGCAACCAGCAACACTAGCAGGCAGACAGCAGCAGGCAGCAGTAGCAGCAACAGCAGCAGCCGCAGCAGCAGCTTGGTATCGAGTGCTAAAGGCTCTCATAGGTCATGGAGTACATGCGGTAAGCAGCCATCCCGGTCACGCATCACTCTCGCCACTCAGATCAGCCGGCGCTATTATAGGCTAGTAGCCAGCCCACCACATAAACGCTTCCTGCTAATGTCATGCCACCTTGCATTGGAAAATCAATACGGCATACGTACGGTGTGGCTCGTGCTACCTCCTCTCTCCCTCCCCCTGTCCCGCCTCCGTCTCTTCGCTCTCTCTCTCTCTCTCTCTCTCTCTCTCTCTCTTTCCATCTCTCTCTCCCTCCTCCTCTCTCTCTCTCTCGCTCTCTCTCTCTCATTGGCCCTCTCCCTCCGTTCATCCTTTCCTCCTCCCTTCCTCTAGACCTCGTTCCATCCTGCCTCCCCTACATTACATCCCCTCCCTCCTGAGTTCCCTCCCTACGGCCATATCACTTCCTCCCTCCCTCCATCCTTCCCTTCCCCTATTAGCTTTCCCTTCGCCCTTCCACGCCGATGGCAGCGTTAAACCCCGGCTTAAAGCCGTTCTTGAAAAAACAGAGCACACAGCAGGGTGTTATTTTCGGTGCGCCGTGCATTCTTCGCCGGCAAAAAGGGCGGTCCGCACGCAGCTCAAGTAAACGATGGCGGCGGAGGGGGTTAGAGTGCGTGGGGTGAGGGGAGAGCGTTCACACCTCAGCAGACTGCGCGGTTCGAGACATAACACGCCGGCGCCCATACAGCAGCAGCAGCAAACGACGACGGGAAGCGTAAGGCGGCAATTTCCCATTAATTCAGACAGACGTAAAATACACAACGACTAAACCCGCGGAGCCAACGAACAACAGAATTTTTGTTTTTGGTTTATTTCGGTTCGCAGATCTTAAGGCGAACAGTGCTCAGCCAGAGACGCTACAGCGTGGATTTGCGCACCGCGGCGCGATACAGTAGGCTCTGCCATGATAGGATCCCTCTGAAGGCATCCTTCTCATCTACAAGCCCACGGCGGAACCCTAGCAAATCGAACCGCGCGTGCCGTGAATTAACGCGTATCAGGTACGCAAGTCGTATTCACAAGATTTCGTTCGCGGGGGCTTTATTTTTGCGCGATGTTAAGCACGTACGGTAAACGCGACGGGGAAGTGTAGAAGGAATGACTGCGCTATACAGTCTCCATCGCGTTAATCTCGGGTCGGGGATTAAGACGGGTAAAAAATTAGGAGGAGAGAATATCGGCTAGCAGCCTTGCACTTAATTAAATCGGACTGTCGTCTGTCCGACGAAACAAAACGCCATGTCGTAAAACCGGCCCGCCGCTGCCTTTAGAACCCTCTTTCCCTCCCCCTCCTCCTCCTCTCCTCAGCCCTCGGTTACCCTCCGCTCGCTCCACATTAACCATTCCTTCCTCCGCCTACCTTCTCTACTTTTCCCTCCGACCCTCCCTCCATCCTTGTCTTCCGTCCCTGCATCCCTCCTATGGTCTCTATCTTTCCCTCCTACCCTCCCTCCATCCTTCTTCCTCTCCTCTCCCTCTCTCTTCCTTCCTTCCTCTGCTCACTCCTCCCCTGCCCTTCCCTCCCGCCTTCCTTCCCTCCCTCTCTCTCTCCGCACACTCACCCGGCGTTCGCCTCCGAGTGTCTCCTGAATCTCGTCGCGAGCAGATGCTTCGTCGTCAACGGCAACACGTTGTCGGCCTGCTCGGCCGCGTCGCCCGCGGCGACGCCGCATCCTCCTCCGCCTCCCGTCTGCAGCTCCGCGCCTCGTGCAGAGTCGGCAGAGCCCGGCCGCCGCCGCCCGCCGTCGCGCCGTCCCCTGCTCGACGCGCTCGAGTGTCGCCCCCCGGACGCCGGCGCGCCACCTTGGGGCTCGCGTCGCCGCGCCGCGCACCGACTGCAGCGTAGACGTCCGACTTGAGGAACTGCGGGGTACACTTGGCGCTCTAGAAGCTGCTCGATCTCGCACTGCGCGCAGCGAAGCAGGTTTCGGTCTGCGACGCTTAGTGCTGAAGCGCTCGGCGACGGCCGCGTCGCCACGTCCGGGGGGTATCGCGACGCGTCATGGCTCGCCGTACGCGCGCGGATGTACGTCCGGTAGGATCGACTTCGCTGAGCTGCGCGATCAGCACGCCGTCTTCATCATCTGTCAGCGCACTGATCGCGACCAGAACATTAGAGCAGGTCTCCGCGTTCTTCTGCCGCCAGAGAAGCTGCGCGAACTGCTAGACGCCTCCGCATCGTCAGGAGTTGCGCATGCTCGCGCCCAGCGGCAGGTACCGCGGCCGTCAGCCGGCGTCTGCGCGAACGAGGCGTCGTGCGCCGCGCCTCCCGTCCGGCTCGAACCCGAGCGGAGCGTCCCCGACGTCCTTCCCTTCCCTCCAGCGTCTCCGTGCGTCGTCATATATATATAGTCGTCGTCGTGGTCAAAGGGCTTCCCGCACGGTTCGCTGGGGTCGAGTAAGCCGATGCGACGCGCCGCGCTACGGGCGAGTCGCGCGTCGCCCCACGCTCCGCGCGGCGCACGCGTTCCCGCATTCGGTTCGTTCTCTCGGGTCCTCCCTCCTTGCGGGGACCGCGCGCGGCTCAAGCTCGGCGAAGCTGACCCTAACTCGTCGGTGACCACCGCGCTAGCGCGCTCATGATAACCCAAGTCGGCGGGCGAGGTCGGCGCAGCACGCTCGCTAACTTCCCCGTCGTCCGCGTGCGCGCGGCGCTGGCCTTCTTGACTGCCGTCGCTCGCGCGAGGTCATGCCTGGCAACATTTGTCTCGGAGACGTGAAGGAGGTCGTCGGAATCTGCAAATGGACGAAAACTCGTCAGGAAAGCCCGCATGAACTACATACATCACACACACACAATATATATCGAATATATACTATACATTATCATATGTTATACCATAATATACAATATATCTAGCATACTATGTTACAATCGAGAAGGAAACGTCGTGGCAGGCAGCAACCTCTGCAGTACGATCGTCGTCGTCCGTCCGTACGTCCGTCGTCCCGCGCCGGCAGGACTGCTACGAGGAAATCAATTTCCAATTAAATCACTTCCCGTCAGCATCCACTGACGCACTTATCCTATGAGAAGCATCGCGCGCGCATGCGTCGGCTGGCATGCACGCCCGACGTAGCGTGCGAGGAAATATCAATGTCCCTGGCTACGGCAGCGAGCAAGCGATACTCAATTACCATCTCGGCTGCAGGATGCTGCCGATACTCGCGTCGCCGCCGCAACCTACTGCGCATCGGTCGCCGCGACGCCTCCACAGCTCGCCCTCCGCTGCAAGCCCTCGCCTCTGCCCCGGTATAAAACAAGCAAAACGCTTCTAGACCCTTCGCGAGGCGACGCGGCGGCTTTCGACGTTTCTCTCGAAACGCGGAGGGGACATCATACGCAGCTGCTGCTGCTGCCCGTCGTCGCCGTCGGCGCCCGGCGGCCGGCTCGCGTTTTGACGTCTGAAGGGAGGAAAAAAACGAGCCGTGTCCGCGACCGTCTGTGTCGGCATCGACCACGACAACAATCCGTGCCACAACCCTGCCGCCGCTACGTGCGTGCGTGCGTGCGTGCGTGCGTGCGTGCGTGCGCGTGTGCATGTCCCGTATCGCCGGCTGTATCAGTACGATGCAAAATTATGCGATATATCAGATATTATGCGAAAAACCGCATTAAGAAACTGCCCGCCGGCGAGTTAAAGTCTAAGCCTTACGCACATGCAGCAAAGCACTGATCACACACACTCGCACACACACACGCATGCACACACACGCACGCACACATACGCACACGCACGCACGCACACGCACGCACACGCGCTGCAGCCTCCACCGCACTCTCCCACACACGCCCTCCATCGCTCTCAGCCGTCGCCGTCGCCACGGTAACCGACGCACGCGACACCTACGTTGCCGTGATCCCGCACGAATAAATAGGATCGGTCGGGAAACCGTAACCACACCTATATTTTGTTTTTGCCTAATTAGATACTTCGACGTCGGCGTGCGCACCTGCGCAATGACGTGCACGTGAGAGACTCGCCGTCATAGCAACGCCATCGCAGAAGACCTGCGCTCCCTCGCTATTCTCCAACTTGTTCGAAAATTTCATTGCCGACTGCCAACCTGCGACTCGCGTCATCGCGACTTTGCGTAATCGCCGTGGCATTGAAATTTTACTGGGACTCGGCGTTCAGCGACCAGGATGGAACGATGAGAAAAGCCGAGAGCATATTTACAGAGGTCCCTGCTAGCAGGCGGGGGGAGAGATCCTCACTCTGCGGTAGACTTCCAAGCGACAGATGGGAGCGCAAGTCTTCAATCTTCCGCTCAACGGACACCGACAAAGTTCCATGACTCCAGCCCTAACTGTAACCATAACTCGAATTCTAACCCTAACCCTAAACCCTAATCCTAACCCTAAATCTTCGCAGAACCAAATCGCCAACCACAATCCTCAAACCGCTCCAAAATAACACGCGGCCGCGGATGACGACTCGACCGCGATATCACAATCGCGGCAGTGCAGCCCGCGCTCTCTGCGAGTCGTGAGCGAGACGCTAGGGAGCGCTCCCAGTCATCCACGTCACGACACAATGCCCACCCTACCACGGTGACTCACAGAATCGTCCCTCAACCCAGACCCCACCCACGCCAGACCGCAGGAGGACTCTACCCTATCAACGACCACACGAACCTTCCGCCATTGGAGAAACCGCTCAGGAGGAAGGGACCTCTACGTCCTCGCGAGGGAGAACCCCTCCGGCCTCCCTCTTCGGTCGCCACCCCCAATAACCGCCGGACAAAAGAAACCTCGCCGGAGGAGGGACCTCTACGTCCGCGGGAAGGAGAACCCCGGCGCCCTCCTTCCTCGGTCGCCACCAAAGTGCTGCCCCTGCTGGGAGAGATGAGTCGTCGCCCCCCGACGCCGGCGCCACCTTGGGGCTCGCGTCGCCGGCCGCGCGCACCGACTGCAGGTAGACGTCCGACTTGAGGAACTGCGGGTACATGGCGCCCTCTAGAAGCTGCTCGATCTCGCACTGCGCGCAGTCGAAGATGTTTCGGTCGGCGACCTTCGTGCTGAAGCGCTCGGCGACGGCGCGTCGCACGTCCGGGCGTATCGCGAGCGTCTGCTCGCCGTGCGCGCGGATGTACGTCCGGTAGATGACCTTCGTGAGCTGCGCGATCCGCACGCCGTCTTCCATCATCTTCAGCGACTTGATCGCGAACCAGAACATGAGCAGGTTCTCCGCGTTCTCCTGCCGCAGGAAGCTGCGGAACTGCTCGACGCCCTCGGCGTCGTCGAGAAGGTTGCGCATGCTCGCCGCCCAGCGCAGGTACGGCGGCGTCGCCGGCGTCTCCGCGAACGGAGGCGTCGTGCTCGCGCTCCCCTCCGGCTCGAACCCGAGCGGCGCCTCCCCGACGTCCTTCCCCTTCCCCTCCATCGTCTCCGTCGTCGTCGTCGTCGTCGTCGTCGTGGTAACGGGCTTCCCGGTAGTTCCGCCGGGGTCGAGTAGCGAGCGACGCGGCGTTGCTACGGGCGAGTCGCGGTCGCCCCACGCTCCGCGCGGCGCCACGCGCTTCCCGCCATTCGGTTCGTTCTCTCGGAGTCCCTCCTCCTTGCCGGGGACCGGCGGCCGCGGCTCTAGCTCGGCGAAATCTGACCCTAACTCGTCGGTGACCACCGCCGCTAGCGCGCTCATGATGAACCCAAGGTCGCGCCCGAGGTCGCGGCAGCACGCTCGCTAAGCGTCCTCGTCCGCGGCGCGGCGGCGCTGGCTTCTTGACGTGGCCGTCGCTGCCGCGAGGTCATGCCTGGCACATTGTCTCGGAAGAGCGCTGAAGGAGGGTCGTCGATCTGCAAAGGACGGAAAACGTCGTCAGGAAAGCGCATAACATACATACATCACACACACACATATATATATAATATATACTATACATTATCATATGTATATACATATATACATATATCTACATACATATGTACATATCGAGAAAGAACGTCGTGGCAGCAGACACGCTCTCAGTACGGTCGGTCGTCCGTCCGTACGTCCGTCCGTCCGTCCGGCCGGCAGGCTGCTACGAGAAATCAATTTCCATTAAATCACTTCGCCGTCAGCATCCACTACGGCACTTATGCTATTTAGAATGCATCCGGCTCGCATCGTCGGCTGGATGCAGCGCCGAACGTAGCTCGCAGAGAAATATCAATGTCCGGCTACGGCAGCGAGCAGCTGATACTCAATACCATCTCGGCTGCGGATGCTGCGATACTCGCGTCGCCGCGGCAACGCTACTGCGGCATCGGTCGCCGCGACGCCTCCACATCTCGCCGCCTCCGCGCGCGAAGCCCTCGCGCTCTGCCCGCGGTAAAACAAGCAAACGCTTCTAGACCCTTCGCGGAGGCGGCGGCGGCGGCTTTCGACGTTTCTCTCGAAACGCGGAGGGGACATCACACGCAGCTGCTGCTGCTGCCGTCGT